AAAATTGAAAGAAAAATAAAACATTCGGGAAAATGTTAGAAAGAAAAAAAATAACATTTCCCAAAATGTTTAATTTTTTTACATTTTCTGAATGTTTTGTTTTTCTTAAAATTTTATTTTTCTCTAATCTTGTTATCACATAGAATTTTTCTCACGATTAATGGAATTAATGAGTTGATTTACTTAAAAAGATACGATAATGAAGAAAGGAGAAAATTTTTTATTGATGGTGGAATTAAGATAACAAGAAGAAAGAAAAGAAGAAAGAAGAAAAAACATTTAAATAAATAACAAGAAGAAAAAAGGGGGAAAGTGCAAATAAGAAGAAAATATAACAAAAAGTAGAGTAAGAAAATGATCTTTAATAAAAAGAAAATGACTAAGAAAAGAAACATAAAAAGGGAAATGAAATAAAAATACGGGAAGAAAACAGAAATGACAAAAAAACGTATTTGGGAAGGAAATTGTACAAAAAAGATATCCTAATAGAGTGAAAAATAGAATAATTAATATGGGAAATAAAAAAGTAAATAAAGGGATGGAAAGAGAAATAAAAAAAAGTGTCCATGGGTAAAATAATGAAAGAAATTTTTAAGGGAGAAAAAAGAAAAAATAAAACATGAGAATGTTTTGAGCAGATTTGTGAAAAAATTTATGTAAGTTTTTTTAAAAAAATGCAAAAAACCTGATATAGTAGGTCACCACAAGTTTAGGGTACAACGAAAGAAGATGAGATGCAAAAGTGAGATTATTCTTGGAATACATAAAGGTGAGATTATTATGAGAAGATCGATCAAATGTGTGATTATTCTTGTCAATTTTTCCTATGAAATATTAAGAACATGATTTCCAAATAATAGATTTAGGGAGGACGCAAAAGAGATGAGTGATCAATCTTCTGTGATAAAAGTAAGAAGGAAGACGACTTCTCTCAAATAGACAACATGCTTGGATAGTGAGAAATCATGCATTGTAAGCTTTTTAGTACTTTAATATCTAGTCACTCCACTTGGTATTATGTGTCTTAGAAAGCCTATTATTAATTTGTCACTATATATTTTATTAAGACTAAACATGTATGCATTGGGGATGCTTTGAATATCTCAAGCCTTAAATTTTCTGAGTGTTGGATTCCTAGCTACTAGTGTTGATGGTAATTTTTTGTTGATTTATGTATGAGTGACTCTAGAACAGTTCAAGTTTAGTTTATTCTTCATGATAAATCTAGCTAGCTTGTGTCTTTCTGCACGTTGGCCATAGCAGTGAGTATTCAAATTTTATTCTCATCTAGAGCGGTCAGTCCTTATTTTGAATTATTGTCGTGCTAGGAAGATAAGGTTTCGTGAATTGATTTCTTCAAGACAGCTCGTAAAACAGTGAATCATTTTATTAGTGTACTAGTTCTTGTGACGTGTGTTGCACGACAAATTAATGCCCAATACCAATATCGTATCATACATAAGTGATTAGAATATTTTTTGATTTTTTTGAATAAATATACACACATTTAATACGGTCGAAGCAAGTGAACCTCAATTGACATATAATACAGTTTTGTTTTTTTACAAACATTTGTTTTGAATCTCTTCATCGCTTGAATTCTTTTTAGGTTTGAATTGAAGAAATGAAATAATAAATAAAGATATACTGCGTTTAGTATCAACCTAGGGATGGGAATTTGAACCGAAAAACCGCAAACCGACCCGAAAAAACTGAACCGCCAAAGAAAAAATTGAACCGAACCGAAGAAATTGGTACCCAAAAATTGGGACCCGAAGTCTACCTCGGTTCGGTACCGGTTTTTGATATGGAAAAAGTCGGTTGAACCTAACTGAGCCGATTTTATATATTATTTATAAAAATCATTATTTTTATTATATAAATTTTGAAATGCCCAAGTCAAATTCAGGCCCAGCTGCTCCAGTCCATTAGGCTAGGAAACTTCACAAGCTACGGACATATCAATCGGATACCATCTACGCCGAAGTGCTGAACGGCTGAAGAGGAGGTGAAGACGGAAGAGATTGTCAGCTACCATCTACGCTGCCCGGCGCCGGCTACCATCTCCGGCCTAACAAGGTAAGTAATACTTTGTCTCTATTGTCTTGTTCTGCGCACCCCTTGACTCGCCGCAGCCGTATTCCCTGCCAACTATCCACATCATAGAAAAGTAAAAAAAATGGAAACAAGAGTATGCGTTAGGAGTTAGCAGTAAACTCTAACAAGTATATAAACAATAGTAGCATCCAATAAACTGATTTAGTACATAGAAATTGAACTATTTTATATTAGACATAAAATGAACAATTTTAAATTCATTTTATAGAAATTGCTCTAAATAGGAGAAAAAACGTTTTGAAATTCCAAAATAGGAGTATCATGTTTTTTATTCCCTGAGTATGAGTAAACGGCCAAGTATGAAAAAAATTGTCATGTTTTAAAGCCTAGTAATGTCAAACTTGGCAGAAATTTACTCCTATTCAAGGAATAAAAAACATGATACTCCTATTTTGGAATTTCAAAACTTTTTTACTCCTATTTAAGGAATTCTCTCTTCATTTTATCTCTAAGCCAATGGTTATTGTATGAACATACACTATTTTTTTCTGATAAGTAACAATGTGAGTACGTAACTCATCTAAAGTACATAGAAATGTCCACTCTCCATAGTTACAAAGAATAAAAGGTTTCCAGATGTTTATAAATGATAGACTCGTAGACTAAAAATAAGACACTTGTCAAGTACCTTGGCAGCAGAGAGAAAATATCATTTGTTACAGGTGAGCCTAGTGATTTAGTACTTGGTTACAGTCTTCTTATTTTTTACAGGTCTTACATTGCATATTAAAGGATATTGGGAAAATTACGGAAAAGGTACTTGTGGTTGGGCCCGTTTTCAGATAGGGTCATGTGTTTCAATCTTTATCAAAGTGGTTCATGTGTTTGAATTCCGTTATCACAAGAGGGTCACGCCGTTAAAAACGTCTGAAAAAGACCGTTAAAAATAACTCCGATTTTCAAAAGTGTTCGAAACATTAAAAGAAAAATACCGAAAGGTGCGCCTCATTAAGATGACCTCCAAATCACCTTCGCCTTTGGAATTTTCAGATCTGTTTGAATTATTTTTTAAAAATGATTTCCATAATATCACTTTTCCGATGGACTTTTCGGTCACAAGGGTGGCTGAAAACAAAAAAGAAAGATGGCCTAGCGGTTGTCTTATTGAGACACACCTTCCAGTATTTTTCTTTTAATTTTTCGGACAGTTTTGAAAATCGGAGTTACTTTTAATGGTCTTTTTCAGACGTTTTTAACGGCGTGACCCTCTTGTGATAACGGAATTCAAACACATGAACCACTTTGATAAAAAATGAAACACATGACCCTATATGAAAACGGGCTCAACCACAAGTACCTTTTCCGTACTTTTCCCAAGGATATTTTTGGGTCCCAGTTAAACCGAACTGATATTTCATGTCCCAAAAAACCGGTTCCCGATTCTATTTCGGTTCGGTTTCGGTTTTCATTTTTTCTAAAACCGAAAAATCCGTTCGGTTCTACAAACCGACAAATCGGTTCGGGTCCCAAACCGAACCCAGCCCTACATTTACCCATACTCGTATGTGAATGTAAAATAATAGGTATGTGTCCAAATCCGAAATGTTGAACCTATGCATCGGCAATAACCATCCTGAGCTGTTTTCGACATGAGGTTTTAACTACGTAAAAGCAAGGTAGTCAAAGTCGTGAGGCGCACTCAAGGCGACGGAGTACTCCCATCGCCTGAGGCGCAAGGCGCAAATAAGCATTCGCCTGACTCATGTAAGGCGCGTCACTTAGAAAATATCACATATATATATACTATTATGCAAGTATCAAACATGATGTATATAACATCCTATTGAACCAAGTACATTAAAAAGTCCCGTTTCTAAAAAATAAAGTCACGATTCACCAAAATAAGTTCATGCATTTGCATCAAGTCGGGTCTGTTTTTGCTGATTTGGCAGCTTCAGGACATGTGGCTGAAGTTCGATTTTTCATGTCCTGTAAATGTACAAGGCATATATTATTTACATACTAAATACTTCATGAAACTATTCAATGATTAGATTATATGAAGTGTACATGAATAAAAATATTAAATAAGAAAATGTCGATAAATGGAACAATGATTAGAAAAATGGAAAATATTTTCTATTTAAATGATTAGAAAATGGAACAATGAAGAGAGTCACACATGATAGACCACTATATCATGTTTAAAAATATATATGTTTGACTTGTATAGAGTTTATAAGAAGTAGATGCTGAAAAAAGAAAAAACAAAGAAAATGGAACAGTCAAGAAGAAGAAAACTTAGTGTCTGTTTACTAACAAAAATATTTTCTATTTTTTGAAAAATTTGGAAAACTAGAGATATAAAAATTAGAAAATTTGTTTACCATACCCTTTTCCAAAACGAAAAAGGGAGACATCTCTACCATTTTCCTTCTGAAATAGAAAAACGACATTTAGATGTTTTCAGGTTTTAGAAAACACGGAGCTACAATGTCTATTTACTCGCTCGCCTTCATCCTTACTGTGCTATACGTTCATCCCCCTTCTTTTATTGTGCTCTACCTTCTTCCCCTTTATTGCGTCTATCTTCCTGTGCGTTCAAGCCATTACTGCGCTCTACCTTCCTTCACCTAACATATTTACATCTCCGCCAAATCAAGGGAAAATGGAAACTAATAGTTCAACTTTTTAGCGGTCTTCTTACGATAGTCCCACGTTTTCATTATTCATGAATAATCCAACCTTTGCATCCCGTCTTCATTCACTGGTCCCTGACCGATTTATGACCTATTATTCCAAGTTATTTTCTTATCTTTGTAAAACATTATACCATAATTCTCACTTTATGATCACATAATGTCTTGAAAATAACTTGGAATAACAGGTTATAAATCGATCAGGGACAGGTGAATGAAGATGTCTTGGAATAACTTGGAAGATGTGCAACCACTTCCCTATCCTATTACTGTCAGATCGTTCATTAATAATGAAAAGGTTCCATTATCATTTTCTCCAAACCAATTCGATCAGAAGAAAGTGTAACCACTTCCCTATCCTATTATAAAGTGGCACGCAAGGTTCCCCTAAATCATCGCAGCGCATCGCAAGCTTTGTTCCCCAAAGGGTTCGCACCAGTCTCACTAAACAGGGCGTCGCTAGGAGCTGCACCCTGCAATCACGGAATCTCCCAATTCTTCAGTCGGCTCTTCTTCTGTCAACGAGTTCAAGGTAAGCTGAAAGCTCTCAAATTAATTGTCATTTTCACTTTACCTTGTCAAAAATTCGAATTCAATTGGAAACGAGAAGGCCAATTGAGCTCATTGTTTTTAATTTCTGGCTATTTTGTTCCCTTTTTTCTGTTTTTTGCAGTTGTATATAGATATATACGTATCTATATTAGGAGTTTTTTCAACTTCTTTCTTATTAAGTATAGGTTAGGAAGAGAATGGATAGTTATCGATTACACTGTGGTCTGGCCGTGGGGGAACTTGATTTTTTAATCGATTTTGTATGACATTCGCCTATATCCAGTTTTGCTTCCTTACAAGTTGGGGGATTTATTCCCGGATGAGATTTTGCTGAGTACGTGTGAGAATGCAAATTTGTGTGCATAGTTGGGGCGATGAGTGATTTTTCTATATTATGGCTTTCTTAGATTACATACATTTGACTAACGTACTTAATATTAAGATGGGTTATTGAAGTTACTTGCTATGCTTTCAAGCCATCTTGGTTCTAGTTAAGTTGTGAGCTGGAAATTTGTATTGGGAAATTTATATATGAAGGTTGTTTTGATTTGGTTTCCCATGTTTATTTCTTGGGACCAATATAATTTTGAAGGTAGTTCTGATTTGTTCCTTAGAAAACCAAAGGACACAGATACATATGAAAATAATAATTTGGGTAAAATCCAAAAACTTGATAGATACTAATCCGAGCTACTAATCTGGACGATAGTCAATTACATCACCACTTCTAAATAAGTAGTAGGTTTTTTTATCCTCACTAATTTTATCATGGACTTGGTTTTATACTCTTATTCCAATGTTGTGGTTCTCTGTTTGACTAAGTAGTAAGTTGTTCTTCTGTAGTCATCAACCATGGATACACTCACGACTCTTCCCAACCACTGCCATTCTAGTAGTACTTAATGTAAATTAAATAGGCTTGCAGATTGTACTGAGTGTGTGATTGGTTTTAGTCCTTGATCCATCTTGCCATTTTGTAGCTCATTCATTAATTCTAGACTTTATTTTTCATAAGAGTGATTACTGAATACTACTGGTATGTTTTTACTCTAAACATAAGTGCTTACTGTACTTATGTAAAATGAACAACTTCTGCACAAGCACTTTGCCCACCTGCTCCAAGAGTTGGGACAAATATGAGGTTAACCAAATGATTTTCAAGGCCGAGGACAAATACGCAATAAGCAAGCTTTATTTAACTACCAACACTCGTCCTTGCGTAATGTAAGATTTCCCATTCTAGACACAACACGTGGTTACCCATTGAGAAGGCAGGTTCAAATTCCCATAGCTTGTTGTGCATTGCATAATTTCATTCGCATGCAAGATAGGAACGACCGTTTGTACATGGAGTACGAGGAAGAGGATATGATATTTCACACGGCGGCAAGTACAAGTGAAAATGGGTCACTCGAATTTGATGTCTCAACAACAACAAATGCATCAAATTCGAGAAAGTATTGCAAATGCAATATGGGATGGTTACAATGTATGAGATGTCGAAGTACGACTACTATTCTGATTAACATAATCTCACTTATTGAACTTTCAGTGTTGATGAACATTTATGTTAATTTTTTGTGTTATTTCAAATGTTTGTAATTGTGCATTTCTTTTCCAAATATTAAGTCAACGTTTCTTGGTAAAAATGAAATGGAAAATTGAAAAACTTTGGTACACATGTTTCCTGATTTAGAAAACAAAAAACTGGAAAATGAAAACAGAAAACTGGAGACTTGAAAACAGAAAATGAAAACAGAAAACTGTCTCTGTTTACTAGTAAACAGGACCTTACTGTCATTGATTGTGCTGCCAGCTTCTGCGGTTGATGTGGAGATAGCGAAGACTGAGGTAATGTGAGTAAAGCAGAGCAGGAGAGTAGAGGACTTTGAGTAGCGAACTGACTTGTGTGGATTAACGCAAATTTACATCGTTTTGACCTTTTATTTAGATACTTAGTTGGGCTCTGTCATATTAAAGATATGGGCTTCTTATTTCAAATAGCCTGAAACTAAAATATTAGGCTTAAACGTGTGTTTCCACCTCCGGCGAGATTAGCGAGCGCTTTTTAGCGCTTGAGCGCTTCTGCACCTAACCTGCACCTTACACAGATAGTTGTGCTTGGCCTTTGTTAAGTCGATAGGGCTGATGTGCGCTGCGCCTGGTGCGCTTAAGCGCCCAGGCGCTCGCTTTTGACTACCTTGCGTAAAAGGAAATATTAGAGATGCTCTTAAAATATTAGGTATTATACTCTTTACCATACTACTCAACATTATACTAATATTCCCTCCGTTCTACTCAACTTCGCCAACTTTCATTTTTTTCTGTCCCAAAAAACTTTGTCATTTTGTTTAAATCAATGAATTTGTGGTTCTGCTTGTTTCCCTCTCCTCTGCACAAACCTCAATCTCACAACTTTTACTTTTCTTAATTTCCTCCTAATTCAAACTTGGCAAAGTCCATTGGGGCGGAGGTAACATATACTACTTCGTTTTAAAAAAAATGAGGTCCCATGTTGGTGGATGATGTTACATAGAACACGTTTACCCTGTCTTTCATCGACACCGTTGCGTATGTTATGTTGCTTCTACTAATGTCACTATCGCCGTCATTGGTATCATTATCGCCGTCATCACTATCATGTCATTCTGATTGTCCGAATTTTTCCTGTTGATTTATTCTAGCGAAACTTAAAAATAAAACTGAAAAACAGAAAATAAAATTGGTGACTTTTATAATGGCTCCTGATGTGTGTGTCCGCCATCAATGGTCGTTACGGGTAGGAGTAGGGAAGAGTGGGCAAGTGGATAGGAACTAAAAATAGAAGAATGTAACAAAAGTTTATTTTGAAAAAATAAAAACTAGTTATATTTTTGTCCTAACAGTTTTATCATTTTTCTTTACAATAACACAATTTTATAAAGTGTATTAATCTATTTTAGTTGCAATTCCATCTATTTTAACAATTTTAGTTATTTAAACCAAAATCATTTCCATCAAATGGGCTCTTGTTTAAAGTGAGGAAGCGCCTATAGTTTTTGGGCTGAGGTCATTAGCAATGTATGTGTTTGGTGGGTCGTGACCTTAAATTATTGGCCCATAGATTTTGCGGAGCGGTAAGTCGTAACGTCTACCAATTTTTGATCTGTTGTATATTCATATCAGCTTTACAGGCAGATCCTGCACATCACTGTGGGCAGAACGATTTCCGGACAACAACCCTACGAAAATGTCGGAAAAGAATGGAGATTCCAACAAGAAGGCTGCTAAAAAAGCAAACCTTCTCGATCACGGATCCATCAAGCACATCCTCGACGAGTCAGTATCTGAGGTTCGATTACACTGACTTTTCTCATCTGATTTGATTCGAATTATCCATCCTTCTGCGAGTGAATGTATGTGTAGAAATTGAAGTCAATTAGAGTTGAATTAGAGTATGGATTGTTTTTTATTTTTCTTTTTATATGTCCTAGATCGTTACCAGCAAGGGCTACAAGGAAGATGTGAGGCTGAGCAACGTTAGATTGCTGCTAGGAGTTTTCATCATCATAATTGCTCTCTTCGCTCAGTTCTACAACAAGAAATTCCCAGATAACCGGAATTTTCTCATTGGCTGCATAATATTATATCCTTTTCTATCATTTTTCTATGCTCACTTCCATTTCTTAGCTGGGGGTATGTTTTTAACTTTTTATCAATAAGAAAGAGTTTAATTCACATCCACCCTCTATTCAAATATAAAAATTCGAAAAAAGTTAAAACCTTGTTACCTTTTTTTATGTTCATTCGTCTGCATAATGATATAATGGAAATGAAAAATAAATCACTCTGCCGGTTGGGCTGCCTCATCTGTTTAATCTTGACTCTGGCACGTATGTTATAGCCAATGCAGTTTTGCAGCTGATTGTGTACACCAAGGAGAAGAATGCTATTCTATTCACTTATCCTCCAGTTGTAAGTTGCAGTACTTTTATATGTTTTTCTGCTTATGTGGTTTTCACGCCATGATGCATATTTTTGTTTGCTTCTCAGTGTGTTGGTGATAAATTAGGATTCATTTAAAATGCAGCTTGCTAGTTGTCTCTTAAATGCATGCTTCATATAAATATAGCCCTAGTGTTCTTACTAACGGAACCAAATTTCTATTTTAGTTTTATATTTGATCAGTACTTTCGATTCCATTCGATTCTGTTGAAGAACAAAAAATTTATTCCATAATATCTTGAGGGTATTAATTTGGGCTGGTTAAAGAGGTTTATTCAGAGCTCGTTTAACTTTGTTAAGATTTGTGTTGGTGCCTTAGTTGTGCTCAAGACTTTTCTTTGTTTAGGGAAGAAATAGAAATGTGAGAAATGTGAGGGAGAGAATTAGCCAATTAGGGGAGAATTGAGAAACTTCTGTTGTTCGGTCGCAAGAGAAACGGAGAGGGGATAAATGAACATGGTGATGGAGAGAACAAATGGCTCCCATGAGTTTTTCTTATATCATATCTCTGTCTCTGTTATTATGGTGCGGAAATAGGAGCGAATTTGACTACCTCTCAATTTGTACCCAGTTCTTGATTTTCTTCTCCATTTGTATTCTACCAAACAACACACAGAATCTAATTGCTTATACGGTTTGTCACACCATGATGTATATTTTTGTTATCTTCTCAGTGAGTTGGTGATAAATTAGGGTTCAATAAAAATGCAGCTTGCTAGTTGTGTCTCTTAATTGCATGCTTCATATAAATATAGCCCTAGTGTTCTTACTAACGGAAGCAAATTTCTATTTTGGTTTTATATTTGGTCAGTGCTTTCGATTCCATTCGATTCCGTTGAAGAAAAAAAACTTTATTCCATAATATCTTGAGGGTATTAATTTGGGCGGGTTGAAGAGGTTTATTCAGAGCTCGTTTAACTTTGTTAAGATTTGTGCTGGTACCTTAGTTGTGCTCAAGACTTTTCTTTGTTTAGATAAGAAATAGAAATCTGAGAAATGTGAGGGAGAGAAGTAAGGGAGAATTGAGAAACTTCTGTTGTTTGGTCGCAAGAGAAACGGAGAGGGGATAAATGAACATGGTGGTGGGGAGAACAAATGGGTCCCATGAGTTTTTCTTTTATCTTCTCTCTGTCTCTCTAATTGTGGTGCGGAAATAGGAGTGAATTTGACATCCTCTCAATTTGTACCCAGTTCTTGATTTTCTTCTCCATTTGTATTCTACTGAACAACACACAGAATCTAACTAATTTGAGTTGCTCACCTACTATTTCTCTTCTTTGTTTGTCACCCATTGCTCCCTTTTTATTTCTTCCCTAAAACAAACAACGGCCAAATGGTCTTAGTATGTAGACATGTTGCTCTGTTTTCCTTTTAGGAGTTTCGTAGTGTTTCTTCCTGAAGTATTTCTGCCTGCACTGCCTTGACAAGTCGCCAGAGTTTGCATGCAAGGCTGTGCAATAGTAGCTTTGGGTTTCGTGGTCAACTATCCAGCCAGTTTTCTCTTGTGGTGGCTTCACCATGTGTGAATGGGGACTTGAGAAAAATTTGCTCCTGCAGCTTGTAGTGTATCTATGAGCTTATTCCTGATAGGCAAGCAGAGATATAATGCTTCATTTGTTGTCGAACTTGACCTCAATGCTTGCTTCAGCAAAACAATAAAAACCCATATAAATAAATAATAATAACACACTTAATATACATTTTTTCAGTTTATTACGGTATTAGATGTTTGACAAACTTGTTCATTTTATAACAAAATAATAACATACACTGTTTCTAAAAAATATGCTGCTTTTATGAAGACACTTCATTTGTGCGTACTATTCTATACTAATGATGTTCGTTAGGTCATATCTATGGACCACTCACTCGACCTAAGCTTCTCCCTTGAGATGAGGTTGAAAGTTGGGTTGTATTCAGGGATTTGTTTATGTAAGGATCTTTTTTGAAGGTAGAGAATCAGATAATAGAAACAAGGGAAAAGGGGCAAATAAGCCCTCGAACTAACCGAAAAAGTGCAAATCACCCCTTTTATAGGAGGCTCTGTCCGGCCGTCGCCATTTGAGGCGGTTCCCGGTGGAATTTTTTGATGAAATTTTTTTATCATCTTCTTCATTAAGTCTAGTTTACCCATACCAAATTTCAGCTAAAAAGTCAATCGTTAAGGCAGTCAAATAAATGTTTGAAGATAACTGCACAGTTAAATAGCGCAATATATTAATGAAGAAGATGCTCAAAAAAATTCATCAAACAATTCCACCGGTAACCGCCCCAAATGGCGACGGCCAGACAGAGCCTCCTATAAAAGGGGTGATTTGCACTTTTTCGATTAGTTCGAGGGCTTAGTTGCACCTTTTCCCTAGAAACAATAGCTTCATGTTTGGATTGTTTGCTTGTAGACATCAACAACAATTTATGTTAGTTGTAAATGAATAAATGATGTGTTTCCGCTTATCGAAGCAATGCATATTCTTGACATTGAACGGTGAGCTTATTAGGGTTCTGCTAGTTTTAAAAACTTAAAAATGCTAAATGCTTATCATGAGTAGTTCAAGAGACCAAGAAGTTCTGAAAAGAAAAACTTTCAAATGTTTAGAATTTCCAAGTGTTGCTCAAGAATGTATCATATGCCAATTCTTGATAGCTGGCTACCCTATGTCCCTATGAAGCTTGGTGAATTCAAATTATTGCTTTAAATTCCCTGATAGGCCCTCTTAGGTTTCTAAGATTTCGGCGCACTCAGCTATGATCTAATTTTCATTATAAATGCCTGACGGCGTTACTACACTAGGCCTTATAGTCTCATACCAAGACATGTGTTCATATCAAGAATAGTAATTAGTTAATTACCTACATTGTTTGTTCATATGTCCCATTATATGGAGGCACTATGGGATGATATTGAGCTCTAGGGTAGTTCATGGTTCATAGAGCCTTCTTTGTTGTGAATGCCAAGAGCTTTTGATTTTTTCTTTCCAGGGATCTTTTAACAGTACTGGCTTAGTTGTGTCTTCAAAGCTGCCCAGATTCTCAGATTTGTACACACTGACAATAGCTAGTGCAGATCCTCAGTCCATCTCAGCTAAAACACCTGTGGAGATCACAAAGAGCGTTACTCAATGGTCAGTCTCTTTTCCCAGTCACCTCACCTGTGTATGTTGCAAAGATGCTCTGTTCACTGAGATTTCATATCTGAAATTTCTCAAAAGTTACATGACGTACTGACTAGTTAAAAAATATGGATTCTCATATCCCGGGAAAACATGCGTGTTAAGGAAAATATGTTAAACAGTCAAAGTAATAACCTCTTATTGATGAATGGTTATATAGTTTTGTTAATTTTATAAAATATAAACTAGACAAAATTTCAATGAGTGTTATCAGCACATTTAAAAATGGAAATTGTAAGATACTCCCTCCGTTCCCAAAAATACTTCCCACTTTCCTATTTGGGTTGTTCCCAAAAAACTTCCCACTTTCCCATTTTGGACAATTTGTGTGGCTCACATTCATTTTACCTTTTTCTTACACAACCACAACCATACATTTCCACTTTATTCCACTTTCTTAATAAGCGTGCCAAGTCAAACCGGGAAGAATTTTTAGGAACGGAGGGAGTATCTTTTTATACATGTACAGTACGTTCTGGAGCATATTTGAATTTTTATGCAACTGTCAAGCAATAACTTTCAACAGTAACTCAATTAATAGGTATACACTGAGTAAACATGAAGGTGTAAAATTGATTTATGAAATTATTATTTGTAGATGCTTGTAAATATTTAAAAATAATTAAAAGAATAATTTGTATATTTATTCTTTTGCAGATTTGCAAGCAAGTCCTTTTTTAGTATTCACAAGTACACCTAGCCACCTAGGACCAGCATAGTGCTTCTTATAAGTTATAACAATCTTCTTTATGAAAGAAGATTATATAACTTATATTTATAAGTTTACAAATGAAAGAAAAAAAGGATATGATTTTACTTGTGAATCTACATGACAGGGGTTTAACTTTGCATGGATTTTGCAGGTTTACAAAGGATGGAGTTCTAGTGGAGGGACTCTTTTGGAAAGACGTGGAGACGCTAATCAATGATTACGCTAAAGAAGGCAAAAAGAGCAAGTGAGAATCAATCAATGAATTTTGAAGAGTGGAACTGATAGACTCATCATAGTCAGAAGGGAGAGAGAGAGAGAAAGAACATATTGGTTCTAACACACTGATGTACGTGGATTTTTTTATAACTATGTCTTTGCTTCGACACAATCCCATAGTGGTGTTACATTGACTATTAATATCGAAGCAGATTCGGCAGAGTATGCATACGGTATACACTTGGGCTTCTTTTCATCAGCTTAGCTTCTCGGACATGAAACATATTGAAAAATGACTGTATACCTTATTGTTTCGGTTATAATATACTTCAGTATTAGGGAACCGGGAGAGAGGCTCTGGACTGGTTGTAGTTCAATTCCACTCACAGGGAATTTATAATCCTAATCAGAACAGGCAGAAGGGTGATTGGTCTCAGTTCGTCCTCTTCGGACGGGTGATTTTGATCAAATTTTGATTTACTTTCAATCTGATGGTCTCGGTGAGGCTGGGGGTCTGTGTCATCCATTCAAAAATCTCTGCTTCAACCTTCCATTAACCGTCTAATTTCGATATTGGTCCCCTCCTCTCGTTTGTCTCGGCGTTGGGTTTAAAAATATTACCAAAAATGTATTTGATTTGAATAATCTGGTCCCCTCCTCCCATTTCCCGATAGTAATAACCTATGAAGCACAAATACTTCACTAGAGGACCGCATTAGCGTATCAGAAACATTCTTGTATCAGATACTCTAGGTATTGTACCGCACGTTCCCGAGTCGTATTTGTAATTCATCAAAAGCTTCCAATTTTTAGTAGTTATTTTAAATTTTTATGGATAACCCATATCCTGATGGATACACGGATCAACTTTTTTTTTATAAAAAAACACTCAAAATTTATATAATAAAATTCTTTAAAAAATGAAAAAATTAAAATAAATTACAAAACTAAGTATATGGACCACAAGTAAAATGTTGGATGTTGATGGAGATGACTTTGGAAGCATGGAAGATATGTGAGTATTTGAGTTCACCAACCTTTCCATAGATGAACAAGAATTGCAGAATGTCTTTTTGGAAGACAATGTTACTAGGGATGGACTCAAGCCGGGTGAACCGGCCTGAACCGGCACTGTTCCGGCCCGTAATTGGCCCGGTCCATGGTTCGTTGAGCGGTTCGGGCCAACCGGCCCGGCACTGTAGAGGTCCGGTTCCCGGGCCTTGATTTTGATGAACCGGTTAAAGGGAAATGGGTTGGGCTGGGTGTTTTGGAGGGGTTTGGGGTGTGGGGTAGGAAGTAATTAGAAAATAAAAAAAAAAACAGGGTGAACCGGCCTGACCCGGGCCTGGGGCCGGAGCAACCCAAGCCGGTTTCCGAGCCTAACTTTTCCAAAAAAATGCCCGGTCCGAACCGAGGCCCGGCCCGGCCCGAACCGAGTCCATCCCTAAATGTTACCACTGAATATCGGTAACTTTAGTGGAAATATGTACTAAAACTTTTAATTTTTTTATTAGAGTATTGTTTTCTATCTTCATTATCCAAGAACTTTGAATACTTGAACTTTTAATTTTAAAACTAGGTTTATTTGACTCGTTTCTCATTTTGTGCCAGTTTGGATTTCAGCGGGTGGAGCAAACTGTCATTTCTTTTATTTGGAGTTGCACTAGTGTATAGGAGATAAATAGTGAATTTATTTCCAACTATCCTGAGAATGTGAAATGTTTCAATGCCATGAACAGACAAATGTCATAGTATAATGTGTATATATTTTCCAAAAAACTTTTTATTTTTAATATTTATAAATACACCCCATAATTTTAATATTTATAAATACATCCTATAACTTTTAATATTTATAAATATGCCCCTATATCCGTATCCTACTTCTTTTGATTTTGTCGTATCCCCGTACTCGATTCTGCATTTCCGTGTAGACTACATTTATATTTGGAGTTGCACTAGTGTATAGGAGAGAAATAGTGAATTTATTTCCAACTATCCTGAGAATGTGAAATGTTTCAATGCCATGAACAAGCAAAGGTCATAGTATAATGTGTATATATTTTCCCAAAAACTTTTTATTTTTAATATTTATAAATACACCCCATAATTTTAATATTTATAATTACACCCTATAACTTTTAATATTTATAAATATGCCCCTATATCTGTATCCTATTTTTTTTTTTTGTCGTATCCCCGTACTCGATTCTACATTTCCGTGTAGACGTATCGGCGCCACATAGATAATAACTAAATAATTTGTAATAGCTAGAGTATTCATTAATCATGTTATTGTATATAGATAAGTTGTTTCTTTATATTTTGGTCTCTTATGGGAAGATACAGCTCTCCGAATGGTCGATTTTTATAGCATTTGATGAGTTAATAATCAAGTCCCTATCATAATTAAAAGTATATTATCCACGTTGAGATATCAAGTAGGGGTTTCGGTTAGGCTCCGATTCCCTATTACTTTCAACCCGGGTTTTGATCTACCACACTGGTTTTACTTCAAATATTATTACTTATAAAAGTATGTGTTATGTTCTAAAGGTGTCAAAAGCAATATCAAAGCGACTCTAGATCCAGAGCACAACCGAACTCCTTGGACACCCATAAAGCGTGATAAAATAGCGGGTTAGATTGTTCTAATTTCTAAACTCATATTTTTATTAACCAACTTCAAAAAGTTTCTACCAAGGACGTCTACCTTATATGAAAAATGCTTAGTGTACATTGATTGTACACAATTTGTACACCGTATAAAAGGCAAAAAAAATGTTCAAATTTTTTACCCCTCCCCCACGTGTTACCCTCTTCCCAAACTCCCGTCTCTCCACTTCCTTCTTCTTCACTGTTTTTTCCCTTTCTCTACGCATATCTCCCTCACGTCGTTCCTCTTCTTTGTCCAACATCCCCCTGTCTGAAGCCATTGTCCTCTTCTCACACACACCGTCATCGTTGCGAAGCGCCACTCTCGACTCCCTCACCACACTACGTAAGGCGGCGTAAAGTTTCCACCTGAAGAAGCCACCACTATGGTCTGTACGTCACTGTCATCTTTGGCTGAGGCTTCAAAGAAAATGTAATATCCACTTCTTGTGAGTAGTATTGTTTACTGTCACCCCCTATTGTGTGGTTTGTGTTTGCTGTTACTTTTTTTTTAAAATCATTATGGTATTTTCGAAGTTTACACTTGAAATTTTGAGTTTCATTAAGTGAGAAACACACTGCAATGGTGGTTTGGAATCTTTAAGGGGCCGGATTGTAAGATTTTGATTTTGTCTGGGAGATTGAAATATAACGTCCGTGGACAGGCGGTTTAGGTTGTACAATTGATTTTGGCGGAAGTCGTTTTGTGTGTGTACATATGACTTGAATTGTCTGTGGTTTGTGATGTGATGTTTGTCTTCGTTGACAATTAATTATTTTTTGAAATCAGTAGGGTATTTTTGAAGTTTAAACTTGAAATATTGAATATGATGAACCTAGAAAGACAGTGTATTGTACGGGAGGGGTTTGGGGTTGTTAAGGGGCCATCTTGTAGAATCTTGATACTGTCTGGGAGATTGAATTATAAGGTTTGTGCACAAGTGCTTTGGGGTGTACAATTGAATTTGGTGTAACTCATTATGTGTGTACAAATATGACTTAATTTTTTTTATTTGTAGGAAGAAGCATGAACTGATCATTCCCGTTGAGTCACATTTCCCGGCCCAATATTCTCTCTGCTCCTATTTTGGAAAATTGGGAAACATGTTGGATTCCATACCCATCGGTCAACGGGAGTTGTTCAAGAAGCTTCCATGGGGACATTTTGCTAAAAAGAACCTTAATTTGGCACTTAGCTCCACTTTTACTATTATTATTATGACCAAAACATAAGGGTTTTAAAATTATTTTGATAATAGGAAGGGGAGCTCTTCCGTGCAGTCATATTATGATATGCATTGGTGCGTCATACATGTGGCTCCATCCTATTGGACCATATTACACGTAACACATTTCATTAAAAAAATTGAGAAATTGCATTTGAATCCTACGGAGTAGAAAAATTCGTCAACGCCCCTTTCACATGTCTCTGTATACTCCACCATCTTTTGGATGGATTCTGAAATTGTTCATCCTGACTTTACCAATCCACCTCTGAGATTACTATTCCCATTCTCTAACCCCTTCTCAATCCAAACCCCATATACAATTGCTCAATCTGTTTCCAGTAATTTCATACCCTCTAGCGATTAAGAATGGATCCTTTCCCATCCTGATTTCAAACACTGAGGTGAAATGCTCTCGTACTTCATCGACTATTTCAGTTGAAGAAAAGATTTTAAAGCTGCTCATGATCTGCTAGTCGGTGGTAACAAATCTGCCGCCGGCCCTAAAACTTTCCACACCTCCATTGATAGGTTGGTTCGTGCTGGTAGGCCTACCTAAGCTGTAGTCTTTTTTCAAAATAGGTAACGAGTATGAGTTCAATAGAGACACAGAGTCGCTCAGATTGTGCAGAAGTTATGAAGTTGTGTGAAGATGGCTTTGTTAGAGCTATGCTGATGAAATTGTGAAAGACTTAGCCGGTGACTAGTGAGATATTCCATGACGGAACAATATGTGATTTTGAATGCCGATTGCCGACCATGTTTCCCTGGTTTCTTCGGTATCGCAGACGCTAGAAGGTTGTTCGCCATCGTGAATTATTTTACAACCAAAATTAGAAAATGACTAAACGGATTGTGGAATAATTAAGGACTTGTTGTGTAGTATGTGAGCTGTATGAAATTACCAATGAGATTCTGCCAAGTTTGGTATGCACCAAAACATTCGGTAAAGCATATGCACCATAAAATTTTCCTAATAGGAACCGTCAAGAGCTAGAAAAGAAATAGTGTTAGGCGATTTTGAAGCGTTGCATTAATTATGAACACTTTTGAATCCTTTAGAGCTATGTTATGGACTCATATGCGAAATTTGAAGAGCTTGTAGATGGCTAACTTATAGAGACCATATTTCTTGAATTAAGAGGTCTTTAGAACACAAAACTTGTCAAAACGAATCCTTCTATAAAGTTGATAAGTTGATAAGTTTAGGATTATACCGGCGATGCTAAGATCACCCGATGTTATCAAAAAGTTGATAAGTTTAAAATCTTTTTTTTGAACATAAAAGAACGGCCTTTTATATTAATATCGAAACATCATACAAGACAAACTCCAGATAGTTATTAAAGATCCAATGTAAGTCCTAGAAATAGTTTTAAAGTCAATCCCCTCATACAAAGCAGCTTGACTCGCTAGACACAAAACGAACAGTTTTAAGCCTAAAACGATCAGAACCGGAACACCGCCTAACAAAAGTATTCCAAATATCCAAATATTCGAACTAAAACTACTCGAGCTAAAATAAACACAAGTACTATCAAAGCAAAGATAATACTGAAATAAAATCTTTCCACAAAACTCTTCTTGGCACGGAGGTAGTTCCTGAGGAGGACGAGCTGGTGCAATATGAGTGAAAACTAAATTTTTCTTCTTTCTTTGTTTCATGTAGACATAGAAACATGTGAAGTCAAAAACAACCTTTATGCCTCCACAATTTTCTACGTTGCTCAAAAGAAGGCAGACAAAAACTTCTGACCGGTCAAAACCGACAGAGACACCAAAGCAACTTCCCACATCGAGGGGAGGGAGATAAAACACCACGTAGGGCCGGTGCTAGGGAAAGAACCTCCATAAAATAGAACAAACACAACAACAAAAAATGTTAGCCAGAACCCTTCAACGATCCACTATGAGGCCGCTTTCAG